ATTTGATACATAACTTTTTTTTATAATATTTTTATGAGAGCATCACTTTCTCGGCAATATTGTTAAAGGCTACATCGAGTTATATATGGAATGTATAAATACGTGCATATATGTATACGTCCATACATACATATATGCATACACATATTCATACGTAAATACATACATATATACATATAAATATACATACAAATATACATACATCATACATACATCATACGTACGTACATACATTCATTCATACATATATACATTCATACATACATACATACATACATACATACATACATACATACATACATACATACATACATACATACATACATACATACATACGTACGTACGTACGTACGTGCATTAGAAAATACGTGCATGCGTACATACGTACACACATCATACACACATGTCGCTATGTTTATTCTATTCTTTTCTGTTTTGCAAGCTGTGGCTATTACTGATTTCTTGGTTTGTTTGTCTGTTAGTCTGTGTCTGTCTGTTTGACTGTGTATGTGTCAGTCTGTTTGTCTGTCTATATGTTTATCTATTTATCTAATGATTCTCTCTCTCTCTCTCTCTCTCTCTCTCTCTCTCTCTCTCTCTCTCTCTCTCTCTCTCTCTCTCTCTCTATATATATATATATATATATATATATATATATATATATATATATATATATATATATCTGTCCATCTATCTATCTCTATCTCTTTCTCTTTCTCTCCCTCTCCCTCTTTCTCTCTCTTTGAGATGCACATCTGCTTAATAGCTTAGAAAGAATGCAGTAATTAGCAAAACAGCAAGGTGACATCATAACTTACTAATTAGATTCGCGTTCGGAAATCATTGTACTATTATTATGATAATGATTATTGTTGTTGTTAATGTTATTAGTGTTATTATTAATGTTATTATTTAAAAAAAATATTATTTTTCTTTTTGTATTATTATTATTATTATTATTATTATTATTGTTATTATTATTATTTTGTTATCGTTGTTGTTGTTATTATTATTATTATTATTATTATTATTATTATTATTTTGTTATCGTTGTTGTTATCATTATTATCATTATTGTTTATGTTGTTATTATTATTTATTATTGTTATTATTATTATTATTATTATTATTATTATTATTGTTATTGCCATCATTACCATCATTGTCATTATTATTATAGTTTATGTTATTATTGTTAATGTTTTATTATTAAATCTAATATTTTTAGTACCGATGTTTTTATTATTGTTAGTTTGAAAATATTATTATTGTTATTATTATTATTGTTGTTGTTGTTGTTATTGTTGTTGCTTTGCTGTTGTTTGTTGTTTTGTTATTATTATTGTTATTATTATTATTATTATAATTATTATTATATATTTTAATGATTATTGTAATTTTTTATTATTATTATTATTATTATTGTTATTGTTATTGTTATTATCATTATTATTATTGTTATTATTATTATCATTATTATTATTATTATTGTTGTTGTTGTTGTTGTTGTTGTTGTTGTTGTTGTTATTATTATTATTATTGTTAGTATTATTATTGCTGTTGTTAGTACCATTATTTTTATCATTATTATTATCATCATTGTTATATTTGTTGTTATAATTTTTATTGTTATCGTTATTATTGTTATTTTTATCATTACTATTATTGTTTAATTATTGTTGTGATGATAATGATAATGATATATGTTATATGATATGTATGTTCTTGTTTTGGTAATTTTGTTATTATTATTATTATTATTATTATTATTTTTTATTTTTATTATTTTTTATTATTGTCATCATCATCATCATCATTAGTATTATTCATTATTATTATTAATATTATTATTATTATTATTATTATTATCATCATCATTATCATTAGTGTTTACTGTTATTATTATTGTTGTTGTTTTTATTATTATCGGTATTATTGCTATATCAACAATTATAATATATGATAATAGTAATGAATAGGATAATGATAGTGATAATGATAATGATAATAATGGTAAAGATAATTGTAATAATAATGATAATAATAATAATAATGATAATGATTATGATAGTAATAATAATGATGATGATAAAAATAATAGTAATGATAATAATAATGACGATGAGGAAGATGAAGATAATGATAATAATAACTATAACAGCAACAAAACGATAACTATGATGATAATAATGATAGCTTTGTTTCTTATAATTGTTATTATGATTGCTTTTGCAGTTATCGTTTTTATTAGTATTATCAATGTTATTATTATTGTTATTATAATTTTCATCATTATTGTTCTCATTATTATTATTATTATCATCATCATTATTATTATTATTATTGTTTAATAACAATAGTTATTATTATCATAATGATAAAATAATAATAATGATAGACCTAATGATAATAATAAGGATAATAATAGTAATCATTATTATTATTACTATTGTTATTATTATTATATTATTGTTATTGTCAGTATTTTATCATTGTTATT